TTTTTTATGATCAATACATGATTAAGAAATAGTCATGTTTTGCTTACAGAAATTGAGTTACTTGTATCATTGATACACATGTTTGTTGAATAGTTGTCAGTTTAGCTCCTGTATATATACTCTATTGATGTCATCTAGTCTATTTGACAGGGGGAGTTTTTGACATAAATTTCTTTACTTCTCTTATCTATGCTTATAAGCAGGGGGAGCATTGCTCCTATCTTTCATTTTTCCCTCTTTTTGATGTTGTCAAAGGGGGAGAAAATACAAAATACCACTTATAGCTTACAAATTAATTTCTGTTATATATGGTCATATATGATTTTTACATATGGTCATGTATAACTTATTCTTGTTTTGGCTTATATGTGGATTATCAGTGTATACTTCATACTCATGTATAAATTGTTTGCCATCATCAAAAAGGGGGAGATTGTTGACCCTATAGTTTTGATGATGATTTGACAAACAATTTATTACTAATAAGTTTTTCCAGTGTTTTGTGTTTATGTTCTCTTTTCAGGTATTTCAACACAGCGTTAAAGATTCAAGTTCATCTGCGTGGATTTACCTAGGTATTTGTTTAGTTTACTTACATATATGGTATGATGATATCTAAGCTCAATATATATACACTTAACACGATTTTTGACGTTTTATATCATATAGATGATTTTTCTTAAAATATTGTTAAAATATCTTTATCTCTTGTTTACAGCTCTCTCACGCTTTGCTATATACATATAATTTATGCACAATACATATATGAATATTTACAAGTCCTATTTCAAATTTCACTTTCATAAAAATACAGGTTTTCTAAGCATTTTTCAAAAACAGGTAGTTTTCACAAACGAAATTTGTTTTTCCAAAAATTCCTTTTCAAACATGTTCATTTCATCATTTATAAACTTTCCCCAAAGTTTCATTATTTTTGGATATGAATTGATATTTTTAACGAATTTCCAAAAACTGCCCAAAACCTGTTTTCTCCCCATGTCAGATTTCGGTCGACCGATACGGTCGACCGACGGCTATCTGGTTTCTGAGAAACTTTCTAGTGTTTTTCCGGTCGACCGGAATTTACGTCGGTCAACCGAAATTTCCATTCGGTCGATCGAAATTTGCGTCGGTCGACCGCCAGCTTCAAAACATGTTTTCTCGGATTTTTTGAACTAATCGGTCGACCGTACCGGTCGACCGACGAGCTGACAAACTGAGCCTAACGGCTAGTTTTTCAAATGGGCTTTTTGGTCTTTTTCTTATTTTTAGCTGTTGTAATGAGGTGCTATATATACCCCATTGCTGCTCTTCTTCTCAATCAATCAAGAAATCCAAGTTTACTGTTTATTCTAAACTCTTTCCTATATAGCTTATTATTTCACTTTCAATTTGATTAGCTATATTCATTAAGTTATTTATTGGTTTTGATTCACTATTATCACACACACTTATTGAGCTTGATATTCTCATATTATATATTGTGGGTTGTAGTGTGGGATTTAGTGAGTGTGAGCTTTATTGTGTTCTCACTTGTTAATTGAGAACAAATCATTGTATTTAACTTTTGTTTGTGAGAATCACTTGTAATACACTTGTACACCGAGAGAAGTGTGAGGAGAGAGAGACGGGGTCAAATCCAATAGGAGTGGCGTCGATTGACGAACCTAGGGAGAGGTTGTAATCGAGCACTTGAGGAGGAGGATACGGGCTAGGTTCCTACACTTAGTGTGTAAAGTGTGTTTGTTGAGTGATTGTGTAGTGTGAGAGTTTTCGGTGAACTTGTAAACCGAGTGTGTAGAAGTTCCGGCTTCCAAACCGGATTGTGATAGTGGATATCTCCTCGAGGTGAGGAGCGGGGACGTAGGTCGTGGGGACCGAACCTCGTAAACATATCGTGTGTCTGTGTTTTGATTGTCTCATATTTTATTTGTGCATATTCTTATTGCTCTTATCGTTCATATCTATCTCTTGCAAGAATATATTGATCTACATAATTTTAATTGACATATAATCGGATTAGATTAGCATAAGACCCTAATCACCCCCCTCTAGGGTCTAACACAAAACTCCATCCTATTGTCGGTTTTGAGGCGCTTCACTTTCTTTCCTGTTTGCTTCTCAATCATAACCTTCCATTGCTTGAAGGTTGCAAACACATCACTCTTATGCTTCAAAAGATACACCCAAACTTTTCTGGAATAATCATCAATCAATGTTAGCAGAAAACGAGCTCCACCTTTCGATGGAACTTGAGAGGGACCCCAAACATCTGAATGGATATAATCTAAAATACCATTGGTTCTATGGACATCGGTACTAAAGGATACTCTATGGTGTTTACCGAAAACACAATGCTCACAAAAGTCTAATTTGCTGATTTTCTGACCACAAAGCAGACCTTGTTTGCTCAATATATCCAGTCCTCTCTCACTCATATGCCCTAACCACATATGTCACAAATGTGTAGTGTATGAATCTAAATCCTCTGAGGATGACACTACTGCAGCACCTGTCATTGTACTGCCTTCAAGGATATAGAGAGTATTTACCTTCTTTTCTTTCATCACAACAAGAGAGCCTTTACTAACTCTCAAAACTCCACCTTCAGCCGAAAACTTAAAACCATTTAAGTCAAGGGTGCCTAAAAAAATGAGGTTCTTCTTTAACTCTGGAATATGACGAACATTGCTCAATGTTCTAACAATATCATCATGGGTTCTAATCTTAATTGATCCGATACCAATAATCTTGTAAGACATGTTATTTCCGAACATGACATTCCCACCATCGATAGACTGATATGTGACAAACCAATTCCTATGCGGACACATATGGTAGGAACAACCCGAATCAAGAACCCACTCATTTTGTGAATGAGTATTAACACTAACTAAAAGAACTTCATGTGAACTAGAAGACTCTTCAGTTACAGTGGCAACTGAAGGTTTCACCTCTCCAGACTTCGACTATGAATTATTCTTTTCTTTAAGCGCTGAACAATTAGGTTTTATATGCCCATATTTATGACAGTAATAACATTCAACATTTATTCTTAGCCTGGACTTTGATCTAGACATGTTTCTAGATTTGCCTCTACCACCAACATCCTTTTCAGGACGACCACGAGCGAACAAGCCTCAGCTTGATCCTCTCCTCCTACGACAGACACTTTCTGCCTTAACTCTTTTGAATGTAAGGCTGATTTAACATCCTCCAAAGAAAATGTATCTCTACCGTATAACATACTATTGACAAAATTTTCATAGGAATGAGGTAATGAACATAACAAGATGAGTGCTTGATCTTTTTCGTCAATTTTAACATCAATATTCTTTAAATCCATAAGAATAGTGTTAAGTTCATCTAAGTGGTCTTTAATTCGCATACCTTCCTTCATGCGAAGGGTGAAGAGGCGTTGCTTCAAATAAAGCTTGTTCATCAGAGATTTTGTCATGTACAAGCTCTCCAACTTGAGCCACAAGCCGGCGACAGTATCTTCATCGGTAACCTCCCGCAGGATCTCATCGGTCAAACAGAGTTGTATGGTACTATGCGCTTTCATCTCCAGCTCTTCTTTCTCATCATCGGGCATAGATTCCGGTAATTTATCCTTTCCGGATAAGACCTTGAACAGTCCTTGTTGTACTAGGAGAGCCCTCATTTTTACTCTCCACAAACTGAAGCTGTTTTTCCCATCGAATTTTTTCACTTTGTACTTCGCAGAAGACATCTTGAAGCCAATTAGAATAGTAACTGTATTTATAAACAGTAACCGTATTTGCAAACAGTAACCATACGTATAAATAGTGACCGTACGTATGAATAGTAATAGTACTTTTGAATAGTACCATACACGTGAATAGTGTCTAGTGCCTTTAAAGAGTAAATGATAATCTAGCTTATTTTCTGATGTGGAGGATCCACTTTTAGTGGTAGCCACAGAGCATACGATAAACAGATACACGTACTCTAAGCAGGCTCTGATACCAGTTTGTTGCAGTGGAGGGGCTTCACAGACACAGAAGATGTCTATACAAGAGTGGACAAATAGAAAACAGCACACCAGGATTTAACGTGGTTCAGTTAGTATGACCTACGTCCACGGATGAGAACAGCAGAGAAATTCACTAATCACCAAAAGAGAAGAATACAAAAGAGAAGACTACTCTCTAACCAGAGACTCTCACAAATAAAAGGACAAAAACTTTCTATCTCACTCTCTTCTCTCTCTATTTTCTTTTTCTTCGACTGATGCATTAAACCCTCACCCCTCATCCCCTTATATAGTCATAAGAAAATAATAAAATATACAAAAAGGGTTGGTGAGGCTTTGACAAATGTGCTGTTAATTCTGAAAAGCAATCCCAAATTAGGCAGATGAAGACATTTTCAAAGTCACGTTTCTCACAAGCACAATAAAACTGAAGCATTTATTAGAAAATCTCAAAGAACAAATAATGAAAGAACTTGCCACTGCAACTTCATCACCACGGCGAAACTGAAGCTCTCCTGGTTTCAGCTCATATTCTGGAACTTCTCGAGGATTTGAAACAGTCATAGGGGTTTTCCTGGTTTTCTGCAAGTTGAGTGTAAATGAAAAAACTAAATATGAAAGCTTTTCCAGCAAAGAAAGAAAAGAATCACTAGAAAGAGATATACAGTATACACGTACAGGAACTGTAGCTCCTTGAGCTCTCAGTACACTGTAGACTTCGCAATTGCCATAAAACTTAGCATCTGCAGCAGCCTATCAATTGGTAAACAAATAAGTATGCTAAAATTCTCTGTTGGATTCAGCTCAAGGGAAAAATTCACCTACTTAACTGTATAAGAAATATGACGTCAACAAGTAATGCTTTTAGAAGGAAAGTAAGCTAAAGTTATGGAATTCAATTGCAAATAAGTACTACCAAAATTCTTACTTTTAACCTAACTATTTCAGCTTAATTATGGGTTTTAGCATACATGTGGTCTCTTTTGATAAATAATACCTTATGCAGAAATATCCTCATGAATGTTTCTGGATTGTTTTGCAAATAGGCACTTCCTCTAACAGCGAACTAAATCAATTAAATAACAACATTTTGGGGAAGTAAAATATAGTTCACTTAACTCTTGCACAATAAAGGTATAAAACAATTCTCAATATTTGATTCAGCCATTGGATGTGGTTCGTGATATCTTAGAAGACTGCAAAATGGATGTTGATATGATTGGAATGCAAGGGGAGCATACCGATTTTGACAAGAATGATTAGCACTGTTGGTTGGGAAGGTGGAAGAATGGATTTTATATGAATACCTCTTCCTACTAGTCTTGCTAGTTGCTCTTTCTGTGAGCCTGTTTTGTTAGTTTGTTTCTTTTCAATTGTCTATATGTAGCTGTTGTAGCGTTTATACATGGTAATACTTACTTGTAAACTTTTGGACAGTTTGTTTAAATTCGTAATGAAACACTGGGTTAGTTACTCACCCATTCACTAGAAAAACTACTCTTGATATTTGTCCCATGCCATGTTACCGTTACAAACCTGGGCCAGTTAAACGAATATGCATGCCTTCCTCTTAATGTTGGTTTTTATGTGGTGGAATATAATAAATAACTTAACTATCATTTAATTTGATAGTTGCTGTAAAACAAAAAGGTATACCTGTCGCACGCACGGAGAGACATTCACACATATAGGTCAAGTAACATATGTAAATTTTCTGAAAAAAACTTAAAGAGTTTATGTGCTAAATACCTTTAAGGTAACTATATCATTTAACAATTATATCACGATATCACAAAATAAAGTAATATCCTTGATGCAAGAAAGGCTTATATGAGTAGGGAGATGCTACGTAAATGTATGTTCATACAAATTTATTTCCAAATATTTAGGAAAGACTGTTATATTTGTATAGAAAATAATACCACAGGTCAATATTGTATATAAATACTAATGACATCCAAATATTTGATACATACAGATCTTGCAAAGAATGTCAAATGAATGGGAAACATTCAAATACAAAACGAAGTCATGATTCACAAAGTTGCAGAGGACATTCGAGGGTGAGAATCTGATAATTAAGGTTGCAATGTGCTATAACAGCGCTCATTGTTATCTTCAACAAATCAAAACTAGCAAAGAGTTTCTTAGGAGCAGAGCAAGATGTGTGGTTACTATGCTGCATGCAACTACTAATTCCCTGATATTATGAGATAAATACTATGCAGTTGCATCTACTTAACTTTTAAAGTATCATACTTACACTTATCAAATAACTTTTACAGATTCAAAAAGTCTATCGCTAGTACAAAAAGAAAATCGCAAAGCTTCATACCGTGCTTCCCCACCGATCCCTGGCATCAATATTGACCTTCCAGGATAGCAACAACTTGACGACATCAAGGCTCCCCTCGCAAGAGGCTATGTGGAGAGCAGTCCTCCCATCAAGATCAATACTATTTACATCAACGCCCTCCTTCAAGAGCTCCTCCACACCATCTACATCCCCTTTGCTAGCCAAAAAGAGCAGCTGCATAGTGGAATCAAGATTCTCCGGCACAGTCAGCTCCTCCTTTATCTCGCCTTTCAGGAGCTTTCGCCGGGTTGGGTCAAGAGATGATTGGCGTCCAAAAGAGAATCGAAGGGCCTTAGTGAATCTTGGATCGAATGATAACTGGCGGTTGAAGCAGCGTGATCCGCTCCGCTTGATGGAACCAGTGGATAACTGGCGCCTCATGACTTTCTTTACTTCCATCTTTTATGCTTAATATAAGCACTGATTGCAATGTTAAGAATAGACCATGTCCTTAGCTGAAACCAATGGAAAAAAGTGCGATAAATAAGAGACATCTAAAGAAAACTATCAATTGTTAGATACTAATTTATCGCGCAAATCTCTATGAGTTTAAACGAATGATAACTGATTGTAATGTTTATGAATAAACCATGTCCACTAGCTACATTTTGAAGCAAACTAACAAAATGAAAGTTATATCCACTTAATTTAAATTTTGAAGAAAACAATCAAAACATTAGATATGAATGTAATGCACAAATCTCTCAAGATCCTTAAACAAATTCGGACAAGACATTGGAATTCTGGAGAAAATACGAGAAATCTTTTCAGCAGAAAAGAGAAATAAATAAGACCGCGAGAAGATTGGATATATATTGAGGAAATCTTTTAGTAACAAATAAAACTAGGGATGCAATGCGTAGATAAATTTGGTGAATTGCATCAAGTTTTAAAATTTAAAACTTAAAAGCATGTGATTTGTAAGAAAAAGAGCACGAAATTCAACAAAAATCGATAAAATTGTACATAGTTCAAACAGAGAAATTTCTCAATTACAAGTTCAGAAACTTACCAAAAAAGTGAAAGCCCAAACTGAGGAAACACTGGCTCTGAATCCAATATGCTGAAGATGAATTACTTATTGCGATCGAAGGTGGTGGCGTCTCGATATCCGACGAGACTGGAGATGAGATTTCTGGTCTCGAATCGAAATTAGGGCGAGGGTTTATGATTCTCAGCGCTCCTCTACCCCTGATTTCGATCGAGAACCATCGATCCGATGGCGGAGGAACGCAATTCTTTTTCCCTCGAAAAAAATGATGATATGAAATAAAATCAAGAATAAAACCGAAGATGAAGAAGGAAAGGGGGAAATTTTTGTGGCTGGGCGAAGAATTTGGATAATTTGCTATTTTTTGGCTATTATTATGCTATTTATAGTTTGGAAGCGAGCGAAACGAGGAAGACGTTCTTAATTTTCAAACGTTACAGAATGTTTTGCAAAAGCAAAAATTGCTTCAACCCCCAAAATTAAATAATTTATTTGCTTACCTTTTTAAGACTTCACAATCTCTTCACCTCTAAAATCAATATTTTTGTTTGTAGAACCCCTTACAATATCAACCCACATCCACTCAAAAAAAATATAAAATCTCAAAACTACCTTTGACTATACACGTGACCAATCTTTTTTTATCTTTTGGGATTTTTGTGGGAAAATACCATTTGGCTCGCGCGAGTTGCAACTCGCGTGAGACAAAACAGGGGGGTGGGACCCACAGCTGTGGGTCCCACCCCCCTGTTTTGTCTCACGCGAGTTGCAACTCGCGCGAGCCAAATAGCAGAGCTCATTTTTGTGCCTCACTCTCTCTCATCCCTTCTCTCTCCCCTCTCCTTCCCCACTTCTATTAAACTCAAAGCCATTAATTTTTTTCTCCCTCTTAAAAAATTTCTCTATATTTCCCTCTTCCCCTCTCAAACTAGGGTGATGTTCAATTTTCTCTATAGTAGCTAACAAAAGTTCTGTATCAAGAAGTCGGTTGTCATTCTCTTCTTTAGTTGTGATCTCGGATCCGTCATTGTTGGGGTTGAGATATGGACATAAGGAATCATTGTGAACATTGGTGGAGAGTTAGATAAGAGAATTGTTGTTGAGTTGCAAATTGTTTGAATTTTGAAGAGATACTCTCAACTATTTGAGAGTCTGTAAGCAATACTATAAATATTTACGAATGAAAATGTTATACTTTATTTTATTTTTTATTTGTAAGTACAATTGCGGGATTTATACATACTTATTCATAAAAGCAATACTAGAAGGGAATGAAGCTTACACCAGATTATTATACGACATGGTTGTTAAGCTTATGCATTTGTATGTTAAGCTTTTTCGTCAGTTGTTAAGCTTATGCATTGGTTGTTAAGCTTTTTCGTCAATTGTTAAGCTTATGTGTTGTTTGTTAATTTTTTCATTAGTCGTTAAGCTTATGTATTGGTATAAGCTGATGCGTTTGTTGTTAAGTTTTTTCATCAGTTGTTAAGCTTATGCATTGGCTATTAAGCTTATGTGTCAGATGTTAAGCTTTTTCGTTAGATGTTAAGCTTTTTCGTTAGTTGTTAAGTTTATATGTTGGTTGTTAAGCTTATGTGTTGGTTAAACTTTTCTGTTAGTTGTTAAGTTTATGTGTTGTTTGTTAATCTTTTTCGTTGGTCGTTAAGCTTATGTATTGGTTGTTAAGCTTATGTGTTTGTTGTTAAGCTTTTTCATCAGTTGTTAAGCTTATGCATTGGTTGTTAACCTTATATGTTTGTTAACTTTTTCATTAGTTGTTATGAGTTGGTCGTTAAGATTTTTCGTCAGTTGTTAAGTTTATGCGTTGGTTGCTAAGATTTTTCCTCAGTTATTAAGCTTTATGCATTGGTTGCTAAGGTTTTTCCTCAGTTATTAAGCTTTTATGCATTGGTTGTTTAGCTTAACTTTTTCATTTGTTGTTATGCGTTGGTCGTTAAGGTTTTTCGCCAGTTGTTAAGTTTATGCATTGGTTGTTAAGTTTTTTCCTCAGTTGTTAAGCTTATGCATTAGCTTATGCATTGGTTGTTTAGTTTATGTGTTTATTATTAAGTTTTTCATGATTAACAACTAATGAATATTATTTAGCTATTTCCTCCATTCCTCCTCTTTCTATTACTAGACGAAAAAACTTAACAACCAATGTATAAGTTTAACAGCCTACAAAGAAGGTTAACAACCAATGCATAAGCTTAACAGCTAACGAAAAAGCTTAACAATACATAAGCTTAACAACTGACAAAAAAACTTACTAATCAATGCATAAGCTTAATAACTGACGTAAAAACTTAATAACCAATGCATAAGCTTAACAACTAACGAAAAAACTTAATAACAAATGCATAAGCTTAACAACTAACAAAAAAAGTTAATTAGCAACTACATAAGCTTAACAACCAATGCATAAGCTTAACACCTGACAAATTTTTTTAACAATTGATACATAATCTTAACAACTGACTAAAAAGCTTAACAGCTAATGCATAAGCTTAACAACCGATGAACAAATTTAACAACAAATGCGTAAGTTTAACAACTAACTCATAACATTAACAATTAACTCATAAGGTTAACAACTAACTGCTAAACTTAACAATTGACTACAAGTTTATAACCGTATTCAAATTAAGATACGTATCTAATATAATAACCACCACTACAATATAACATATGAAGAAAAATATTTACAACTATTTTCAAAACAAACTACATTATAAAGTTCACAAAACAACCCACAATATGACATCTAAACATCTCCTTCGAACTCCATTGTTTCGTTCTCCGTTCGTGAAAAAAATTGCCATGATTCACAATGATCCTTACATCCAGATCCTAAATCCAACACCACAACTGGAGAATAGCAATCGACCTCTTCACAGAATTTTTGTTAGCTATCATAGAAAAAAATGAACCTCACCTTAGTTTGAGAGGAGAAGAGAGAAAGATAGAGAATTTTTCAAGAGTGAGAGAATAATTAATTGTCACGCCCCGCTTCCCAAAATACCCGGGAATCGGGACGCGAGCAAGCCCGCGACGTATTAAACTGAGAAGAGATAAGTGCTAGACCCCGTCTTCTCAATCTAATACGCTAAGCGTTAAGAAATACAAACGAAGTCACAGGTCCCCGATCACAATCAGCAAGAATATAATAGACAAACTCAGAATAAAAATACATATCACAAATGGGATAACATCCGAGACATAAAAATACGGTCAAACATGCCCTTATACAAATCTGAACAAATGAACTGAAGAAATATGAAATACATTGATTAGACAAGAATGAGAAGAACTACAAAAGTAAACTGGAACCATTAACTAATAAATGAAAAGAATAGACTTCGACTCTTCTTCTGCTCCGTCTACAAGGCACTCCTGTTGAGGATCTTCCGGCTCCTGGCGAACCTGTTCTTCTCCTAAGTCTGACGTACACCAGAGAAAACAGGTGTACGTCAGGTGCATGGCGCACGGCAAGACCCCACAAAAGAAAAGAATGAACGAAAACCAAAACGGAAACGATACGATAACAGAATTTATAAAAGAACGTGTAACTGGAAATTCCACAAAAACCGACATGCGAAAACACTACTAAAACATGATAAGCATAAGAATCCATAAATCAAACGGGTAACGACATCATGCAGCTAGCGATCAGTCGAATCATCCAAGCAACAAGATCATACAATAGATGGAATTAATACTTAAAAATCTACAACAAGAGACGTAGTACGTCGAGCGAAATAATTCAAACAAGGAAACCCTCATGTATATACCATATGTCTCAAATTATAGATAATTAAATATTAACACCGATCTATGTATGAAAAGAACACCACTGGCCTACATCTCACACAAGAATGCCTAGCCAAGAAACGATGTCATGTAACTAGTCATCCTATAACAGGTCACTGGTCCACATCTCACACAGAGTCAACGCTCATATTACCGGATAACTGACTGTTCACAAATCCTCTACCCGCATCCAATACCGCTACACGAATCGGTCAGAGGACGACACGCAATCCGATCTCAGCCTGGTCCGAACTCAGGCAAAGCTCAGGTGACGAAACAAGTCACGGACTAAAGTGACTACACGAATTCACTTTAACCCAACAACCAACCCCAGTGACTACACGAATTCACCGGCACGGGCTGGAAGATACATCAACAGTCACATCCAAGCACATGAACATTAACTTCCCCATCCCAACTTTTCTCATTTTTCTAGGTCAACCATAATCCTCATTGAAACTCGGGTTCACCACCTAACTCAGTCAACTCACCCACACATGTCACTAAGTCTGTTCATGACGCACGAGGTCACTAAGTCATGAACTACTAATGGTTATCAATCACAGCAAATAATAACAAAACAACTAATCATATACAATAATATCATGGCAAATCAGGTAATCGAAATTAAGAGCCATAAATTTATGAACAACCAACTATGTAATTTAGAAAAATAATCTTTTCCAAAATAATTTATTTTAAATTATTGCAGTCTTCCTAAAATGATTCCTTTCACAAAATAAATTCTTTTAAAACATCATAATTTCAAAATATAATTCTTTTGACGGAAATAACTTAACAACTCAAGATGACATCTTTTCCGAAATAAATACTTTGAAATTATCTATTCTAATAATTATTCAAAACCAACCCATTTTTCCAATTAATCTTTTTCTCATCATAATAGTTCTAAAAAAAATAATCTTTAAATATATTCTTTCTTTTAAAAACATCCCAAATAACAATTTTACACAAAATACTTATTTCTTTAAATTACTTATCTAACATAATTATCAATATGATCATCAACAAGCCCACGCAGTTAATAACAATTCACAATCTAATCTATGCAACTAATTAATGGCAGATATAAATATGAAATAACGAGTCAAGAGGAGCGGGATCTTGCCTCGGTGTTCGTCGAACGAATCGACGTTGACGACGCGGGTCAGATCCGTCGCGGTGGGCACGGCATCGGGAAGAGCTCCGACGAGGGCTGTCCAGCAACGGCAGCGGCGGTTTGGAGGCGCTGATCGGCGATGGGCTGAAGGAGGGGCTCGAGTTTTGAGGGTTCGTCGGCGTTGAGCATCGGAGGAGGGGAACTCGGGGCTGGGCAGATCTGGCGGTGTAGGAGCTGCTGACGGTGGCTGCTCTCGGTCGACTGGTCAGGCGGTGGCAGAGGACCTTAGTCAGCGGCTGGTGGGAGTGAAGCGGTCAGCGGGAGGCTCGCGGAGTGGGCGGCTGAGGGAATGACGGGCGGCTGTGGCGTGGATTGAGGTGTTGAGGGCGTGTAGTCGGAGCTCGGCGGTGGAGGTTCGCCGGCGCAAAGAGAGGGGCTTGGAGTCTCGGTGGCTGGGCGTGGGGGAATGTGCGTCGAAGCGGCTCGAGCGGCGGGAGGGACGGAGCAGGCCGGAGTCGGCGACGGCCTGGGTCGAAGGAGACGGCGAAGGCGGTGGGCCGTGCGGTGGTCGGGGTGAGCTGGGAGTGATCTCGTGGACGAGAGAGAAGAAGAAGGGGGCGGCAGAAAATGAATACCCGAGAGAGAGAGAGACATATACATATATATCTATTTACCCTTTAAAAGAGGGAGTTCATAAAAAACTTTTCTCTCCCCAAAATAGCCTTCCATCAAATTAAATTACCAAACATATCCTGAATTCATAAACCAATTTACCCTTTCATCGGTTACCCCTCAATTCCTCCTTCTTTCAATTCATCGGTTACTCCCTCATCCTTTCAATTCATCCGTTACGTCAGTTCCTCTGATCTTCCGATACCTCAACCAGCTTTGAAAGGTGATTTCTCAGTTCTTCTCAGTCATTATCAAAGCTTTCCCTCCGTCATCATCAACGCTTCACCATATCCTCCGTTCTTCAAAGTTTTTGGGAATTGGTTAGAATCTTTGCTTCATTTTGGTTTAATTTTAAAGAATAATTTCATTGAATTTGTTTCTAATTCGCCATCATCTAATTTTTGTTCTAATTCAACAATAGGTCAATTTTTTCCGATTTAGGGCTTGCTTCAAGTGTTCTAACTGATCCTGTGTCAATTTCATCAGGTAAAAATTCTCTTTTTATTTTTAATTTTGGTCAATTCTCTTTTTATTTTCATTGTATCTGAAATTTGATGCGACTTTTTTTCTCTGTCAATTTATATCTGCTCAAATAAAAAAATCCGCAGAATGCTTAGAAACAGTAATTATTCATAAACAGACATCATGGATACAAGAAGGGAAAGCACCAAGCATTGAGTATAATGTTGTGAAAGTACCAAGCATCAAGGTCTTTGTGATTTATTTATTTCTCGCATAAAAAATTGGCACCCCACAACCTACGCGCGATACTCAAACTAACCTGTCAAAAGCCGTGAAGTGAAAGATTGAAATAATTCATGAAGACAATCTATCAGGAGAGATTGAGTTGTGTTTGTGTCCACAGGTCTAAAATAAGATGATTTAGACATTTGAGGCACCTTTGAAGTCTGACTACAAGCACCACCCTGCCCCAAATATACAGCCTTTAAGCCAAAATAACTTATGATATCAAGTAGTGATTAATTTGCAAGCATGTCATTGAATTTGTTTCTAATTCGCCATCATCTAATTTTTGCTCTAATTCAACAATAGGTCAATTTTTTCCGATTTAGGGCTTGCTTCAAGTGTTCTAACTGATCCTGTGTCAATTTCATCAGGTAAAATTTTTTTTTATTTTTATTTTTTTAATTCAATTATGTTACTGTGCCTGGCTCCAAAACATCTAATTTTTGTTCTAATTCATCAATATGTCAATTGTTTTCGGATTTAGGGCTTGCTTCAAGAGTTCTAATTGATCCTGTGTAAATTTCATCAGGTAAAAATTCTCTTTTTATTTTTAATTTTTCTGTGATTATTTTTTATTTTCACTGTATCTGAAATTTGATGCGACTTTTTTTCTCTGTCAATTTATATCTGCTCAAATAAAAAAAATCCGCAGAATGCTTAGAAACAGTAATTATTCATAAACAGACATCATGGATACAGCCTTTGAGTTTGCTTATAATTGATGAAAGTTGTGGCTTTGTGATGTTAGAGATGCGTATGTGGTGAATTTTCTTAGTTTGACCTATTATTATTTTTTCCTGTAGAGGAAATTGGGTGCCAATGTTGTTCTTCCTTAATGACACTTGACAGTATCTCCAAGTTTAGAAAGCTTGTATTTTGGAGTTTGAAATTGCTATTTTTAAGAATGTTTTTTTAATCAAGATTTCTTGCGATCTATATGATTCATAAATTTGCTTAACTATCAGTAGTTTTTTTCTCAGCGAGTTTCACTGTATCTGGAATTTGATGTGACTTTTTTTCTCTGTTAATTTATATATGCTAGAATAAAAAAACCGCAGAATGCTTAGAAACAGTAATTACTCATAAACAGACATCATGGATACAAGAAGGGAAAGCACCAAACATTGAGTACAATGTTGTGAAAGTACCAAACATCAAGGTCTTTGTGATTTATTTCTTTCTCGCATAAAAAAACAGCACCCCGCATCCTATGCGCGATACTCAAACTAACCTGTCAAAAGCCGTGAGGTGAAAGATTGAAATAATCCATGAAGACAATCTATCAGGAGAGATTGAGTTGTGTTTGTGTCCACAGATCTAAAATAAGATGATTTAGAGATTTGAGGCACCTTTGAAGTCTGACTACAAGCACCACCATGCCCCAAATATACAGCCTTTAAGCTAAAATAACTTATGATATCTCATTCACAAAATCACCAAGTGCTGGTTAACTTGGACCTAATCAAGTAGTGATTAATTTGCAAGCATGAACAAGCTTTTTCTTGTGCATGTCAAACAATCTTTTCACTCTACGTGTCTTGTATCGTTGTTAATGCTCTGAAAATCTTTCAGTGACATCATGCAAGTTGTAACTACCCTACAATAAGCGTCTTAAACAGGTAGCGTAGTGCCTTAGCGGCCGCCCAGACACCCAAATGCCTAGCTGGGTGTCTATCAAGTCTGCAAATAATACATTCATGATTTTGAAATGATTCGTGTAATGCTTTTTAATGTACCATGATCCCAAATATCGATCTGATTTAGTCTACCCCCTTTGTACTGTTTACAATTCAAAGTAGTGCACCATATGCCGACACTACACTGCGAATCGTACCATAAATGGCTGATATTTCATATTTATCTTCTAGGTTGTGCTTGTGTGATTTATGGTCATTAGCATTTAGCACCGACGTCTTTAGCAGATGATATGTATTGATGAACTATAAGTGTGTATGTTTGCTTATTAGAATTAGAAGTGCGAATCATGTTTAGTTAGTTTCTCACCTATATTCTGCTAAAGGGTGGGCTTTGTTATGTTGATGCTTTGGTAAGTTATATGTCCCTCGGCTGGCTTGTTGTATAGGATTGGAAGTTCCATCTATTTATAGCCACACTGGGACACATAACTTACCAAAGCATCAACATAACAAAGCCCACCCTTTAGCAGAATATAGGTGAGAAACTAACTAAACATGATTCGCACTTCTAATTCTAATAAGCAAACATACACACTTATAGTTCATCAATACATATCATCTGCTAAAGACGTCGGTGCTAAATGCTAATGACCATAAATCACACAAGCACAACCTAGAAGATAAATATGAAATATCAGCCATTTATGGTACGATTCGCAGTGTAGTGTCGGCATATGGTGCACTACTTTGAATTGTAAACAGTACAAAGGGGGTAGACTAAATCAGATCGATATTTGGGATCATGATACATTAAAAACCATTACACGAATCATTTCAAAATCATGAATGTATTATTTGCAGACTTGATAGACACCCAGCTAGGCATTTGGGTGTCTGGGCGGCCGCTAAGGCACTACGCTACCTGTTTAAGACGCTTATTGTAGGGTAGTTACAACTTGCATGATGTCACTGAAAGATTTTCAGAGCATTAACAACGATACAAGACACGTAGAGTGAAAAGATTGTTTGACATGCACAAGAAAAAGCTTGTTCATGCTTGCAAATTAATCACTACTTGATTAGGTCCAAGTTAACCAGCACTTGGTGATTTTGTGAATGAGATATCATAAGTTATTTTAGCTTAAAGGCTGTATATTTGGGGCATGGTGGTGCTTGTAGTCAGACTTCAAAGGTGCCTCAAATCTCTAAATCATCTTATTTTAGATCTGTGGACACAAACACAACTCAATCTCTCCTGATAGATTGTCTTCATGGATTATTTCAATCTTTCACCTCACGGCTTTTGACAGGTTAGTTTGAGTATCGCGCATAGGATGCGGGGTGCTGTTTTTTTATGCGAGAAAGAAATAAATCACAAAGACCTTGATGTTTGGTACTTTCACAACATTGTACTCAATGTTTGGTGCTTTCCCTTCTTGTATCCATGATGTCTGTTTATGAGTAATTACTGTTTCTAAGCATTCTGCGGTTTTTTTATTCTAGCAGATATAAATTAACAGAGAAAAAAAGTCACATCAAATTCCAGATACAGTGAAACTCGCTGAGAAAAAAACTACTGATAGTTAAGCAAATTTATGAATCATATAGATCGCAAGAAATCTTGATTAAAAAAACATTCTTAAAAATAGCAATTTCAAACTCCAAAATACAAGCTTTCTAAACTTGGAGATACTGTCAAGTGTCATTAAGGAAGAACAACATTGGCACCCAATTTCCTCTACAGGAAAAAAAATAATAGGTCAAACTAAGAAAATTCACCACATACGCATCTCTAACATCACAAAGCCACAACTTTCATCAATTATAAGCAAACTCAAAGGCTACTAATAAAAAAAAATCTCAAGGAGGTTCCAATTAATCATTCAAACAAGAGAAGCCTAAAACAACAAAATATTACAGAGAAAACGGATTGCACTTGGAGAATTGTTTCCATAAGTTAAACCCTTTGCATTAATTTAATAATCAACCTTCAAATCTCTAACACTCCCAGTTCCTAAAATAATCACAGAAAAATTAAAAATAAAAAGAGAATTTTTACCTGATGAAATTTACACAGGATCAATTAGAACTCTTGAAGCAAGCCCTAAATCCGAAAACAATTGACATATTGATGAATTAGAACAAAAATTAGATGTTTTGGAGCCAGGCACAGTAACATAATTGAATTAAAAAAAAGAGAATTTTTACCTGATGAAATTTACACAGGATCAATTAGAACTCTTGAAGCAAGCCCTAAATCCGAAAACAATTGACATATTGATGAATTAGAACAAAAATTAGATGTTTTGGAGCCAGGCACAGTAACATAATTGAATTAAAAAAATAAAAATAAAAAAAAATTTTACCTGATGAAATTGACACAGGATCAGTTAGAACACTTGAAGCAAGCCCTAAATCGGAAAAAATTGACCTATTGTTGAATTAGAGCAAAAATTAGATGATGGCGAATTAGAAACAAATTCAATGACATGCTTGCAAATTAATCACTACTTGATATCATAAGTTATTTTGGCTTAAAGGCTGTATATTTGGGGCAGGGTGGTGCTTGTAGTCAGACTTCAAAGGTGCCTCAAATGTCTAAATCATCTTATTTTAGACCTGTGGACACAAACACAACTCAATCTCTCCTGATAGATTGTCTTCATGAATTATTTCAATCTTTCACTTCACGGCTTTTGACAGGTTAGTTTGAGTATCGCGCGTAGGTTGCGGGGTGCCGATTTTTTATGCGAGAAATAAATAAATCACAAAGACCTTGATGCTTGGTACTTTCACAACATTATACTCAATGTTTGGTGCTTTCCCTTCTTGTATCCATGATGTCTGTTTATGAATAATTACTGTTTCTAAGCATTCTGCGGATTTTTTTTATTTGAGCAGATATAAATTGACAGAGAAAAAAAGTCGCATCAAATTTCAGATACAGTGAAAATAAAAAGAGAATTGACCAAAATTAAAAATAAAAAGAGAATTTTTACCTGATGAAATTGACACAGGATCAGTTAGAACACTTGAAGCAAGCCCTAAATCGGAAAAAATTGACCTATTGTTGAATTAGAACAAAAATTAGATGATGGCGAATTAGAAACAAATTCAATGAAATTATTCTTTAAAATTAAACCAAAATGAAGCAAAGATTCTAACCAATTCCCAAAAACTTTGAAGAACGGAGGATATGGTGAAGCGTTGATGATGACGGAGGGAAAGCTTTGATAATGACTGAGAAGAACTGAGAAATCACCTTTCAAAGCTGGTTGAGGTATCGGAAGATCGGAGGAACTGACGTAACGGATGAATTGAAAGGATGAGGGAGTAACCGATGAATTGAAAGGAGGAGGAATTGAGGGGTAACCGATGAAAGGGTAAATTGGTTTATGAATTCAGGATATGTTTGGTAATTTAATTTGATGGAAGGCTATTTTGGGGAGAGAAAAGTTTTTTATGAACTCCCTCTTTTAAAGGGTAAATAGACTAGTTTTTACACACGTGCAATGCACGTGATTTAATACCATGATTAAGTATTTTTGACAGTTTGTGCTCATTTTTTTCTTTAAACTCTTACATCTCGATTATTTTTTTATGTTTGTTTAAATGGGATACACCCAATTTAAATTTTCATGTTGATATTTGAATTGACAAAAAACAAATATAATTTAAAAATAATTTGAATTTTCATATTATTTTTGACCGATATGAAACTAAGCTTTATTTGAGAAAGTATAGCATTGCAAAGTGAAAAATATTAAAATAGTGTTATACAAGGAAGGTGAATATTTAAAACCAATATGGCAAAATGATTGATTTAAAGTATGTTAAAACGATGCAAAAGAGAATATGAAGTTTATTCCTAATCATTGATAGACTTCATAAAAAAATATAAATTAAAGATTAATGCTAACTCTAGTATACTTTTATATGATAAAAACATCCACATAAGAATATAAAAGTACTGAAAAAAATTCATGAAACTCCCTTCTAAAGATTCCTAATTTCACTCAAAATAATTAAACTATTCTATAAAATATTCATAAAATATTGTTTTTATTTCTTCTATTTTATTTTTTATTGAGTTAAGATCAATCCTTCTTCAGGTTTATCATTTATCATTTCTCGGACAATTCTAGAGTATTGTCTTCATCATCTACATCAATTGTGACATCAGGCTAATTTTGTATTTTTTATGCTATTATCTTTCCTAGGCTCGTTAATTTTTTATCATCTCATTTAACTTTACAAAGAAGTCAAATGTACTTATGATGTTCAACACAAACTGCTCAAAATATAGACTTTGATTTTTTTCTATTTCAATGAGAATAAATATTAATTTCATATATATAAAATTCTTTGTGTTCCTAATTTATTACTTAAATAAATTAGAAGCTATCTCTTTATTTTCCTCTAAAATGAATTCTTCTGATGTGCATCCAATAAGAATTTCTGTTATTTCAATAATATTACCTTTGCTCTATCCCTGTCATTTTCCATAAAGATCTAAACTAAATACCTGCATTATTCATTACCAATTTCTCTTAGATTATAATATTAATATTTAATTTGAAGAACACAGTATGGAATTTATGAATACTTACTAATTTTTCTTATGTCTTCCATGGAGATTTTTTCTTTGATTAGGATAAAGTTATTAAATTATTTTTTAATGTAACTCATTCAGTGCTTCATTAATAGATATGTCTTATGTTAATGCCAATTCAAGTGATTCATTGACGTTTTCTGAATTTTAGATTTATTTCCATCACTTTCCCATTTGCAATGGAAATAACTCAATTCTTTTAAAGTTATCTCTAAATATTCTAATAGTTTCTCCATATGTAATTCCTTGTATTCTTTTACCCTATAAATATTATTAACGTCAAAGATTAAAGTTTCTAAATTAAAATCAATTAATGCTAAGGTATAATATTATAGTGTTTTATCATTTCTATGGATTTAAACATCTATCAATTAATGTTACGAATGTATTTTGGCTACCCCAACTTATTACTAAAATTATATGAAATTACTTTAATTTATATAGTGCCGATAATTTTTAATCTATAATATTTTTAAAAATTTTATCCATTAACCGGATGTTTTTAATCAATTCTTATTGTTTTTGTTTACCAGTATCAACTTAGACTATTCTTAGATGCTGAAAATGGATAGTAAATCCCTAAATTAGAAATTTTAATATATATATATATATATATATATATTTTTCTTGTTAGGCTTTGAACTTTGCATTCAAGGATTACTTTGAATTTTGCTTATCTGAAAATTTTCATCGTATCATGGGTGTTTTGTTAAGATCCTTTCAGAGAACCGGGACATTAAAAGCTTTTTATACATTTACAGGAATTTCCATGATAACTATACATTAAAAGCTTAGAAGTTGAATTAACCACAAAATTAAAAGGCTTTCTAAAGTTAGTGTTCTTGCTTTAGATTGAACCGTTGAAAGTCTTTGAAGTTGTCACGAAACAAAAGCACACTATGTGGTTGCATGCATGCATGATGTTTATATTGGAATGGGTGCATGATAAATTTTTTGGTCTATGAGTCCTCTTTTGATGATGCTTGGACTCGAAAAAGTTGTTGATATTAGCCCAGCAACTTGCCCAGTTATTGGGGAGATACTCGGGTCATTGTCATCTGCATCAAAGGAGTTGTTTTATGCACTTTGAGTAAATAGCATTCTGAAATGTCAGATTGATGTCAAAACCATTGAGGTAACTTTATAAGCTTATGAAAGGGGGAACATTTACAATATTTGATGCTGATCTTAAAGCACCCATGTAGAGACCTGTTCGAAACTTCAAGGTGGTGTAAAAACGGTAGAATCATTATTAGATTTCTATTACACCGTCGGAAGCTTGGTTCATATCAAGGTAGAGTTGAATAACATCTGACTTCATTCTCTTCTTGAGTATTGCAAAAATTGCATACAATCTTCTTTCATCTGTAACTTGTTCCATTCCTTATCTGAAGCTCAACATTTATTCACTTTCCTGATGCAAAATCAAGGTTTTGATGTGATATTATCAGATGCAGATAGCGTGTTTCATGCAGATAGCGTGTTAAACCTGCAAACTCCCCTTGTAATTTCTCTTAATTTTTTTCCTAGCTTTCCTTTTGATGAAGAAGTTGTCATTGCAATTTATTGGTTTATCAGGCACTCAGTCAAAGTGATGGAAGATGGCGATATGATTCAAGTGGTGCTGAATCAAGTACTTATGCTGCTGGTACTCATCAATTTTAGAGTTCTGTGGGAAATAATTTTGTACTAGATGCTTTATGTATAGCTGTTTCTCCTTTTGATGAATGTTGCAATTTAAATGGTTAATAATCTTCTGAGTGCAGCTGCAATGGTGCTTGGCCACACTGATTGTCCTTCATGTTTGATGTGTTGTAAGGATAGCACATCAAACACTCGCAGGAGTTGTATCGCTGACGAATTCAGTGGTGGATCAGTCAATGGTGAGACTTAATTTACTGAAATTTTCTTGTTTACATTTATGTCTCATTATGATTTGATGTGGTTACCTATTTGATGTTATAATGAACTTTACAATTCAATTGTTTTATACTTCAGAATTATGAGAGATTTGCTTACTTTTGCGTAAACTGAAGTTTATTTTGTATAAATTTAAGACAAAGTGTATTAGTTTAGTTTGTCCATATAATTGGTAATTGCTATGCTAATATTTCACAATTTCATAGAAGTTATGGTGATTGATTTTGCTCAAGCATCCAACTCACTTGTGCTTGAACACATTCACAGCCTATGATGCCATGAAACGTATTCATGTTCCTTTGATGGGAATCCGAGTTTGATTATTTCGAAGAAATCATTGAGGCAACAAATGTTTCATCGAATTTGGTAAGATAGTAGTATGCAATGTGATCAAACTAATAACATAGATTAGTAGTGAATTTGATCAACCATGCACAGGGAAGAGATTTTAACTTGTGCATAATAGAAGAAAGTGAATATGTTGGGTTTTGGTGGCTGTGTGATTTAGGGAGATTTCCATCTGGCAAAAATTATGTGTTTACTTTAAAATTCATAGAAAAATGGTGTTGATCAAATTTTATTCTTCTATATGCACATACTTTATAGGCTTGTTCTCTGACAAAGTCAAAGCCCTTTTTATTGGTTACCCTCAACTTTGCTATTATTAGTTGTAGAATTGGTTGTCCTAGACGGTTTGCCTTCTCATAGGTTTTTTGGTTGCTTACAACATATGTCCTTTGTCAATATTGTTTAGGACTTTTATGGAATTCCACTTGCTTTCTCAGGATTCGAATATTTAAGCAAATTCATCTTATCTTTAAATTGGAGATTAACCTATTGAATTTCACGACTCCTTAAGGAATAGATTAGTATAAGTATTTGGGTACCATCAGATATCTACTTGTAAAAAACTAAACTTATTTACTTCATGTTAATGTATGACAGCATGAGAAGATCTTCACTAAAAGTAATACGCATAAAAATTATATAGGCCCTGTACTAATAGCCTCTTGCCATAGTTAAAGAACAATGAAGGTTTACATCAATAGGACAAACCTTACCAGTAAAGTAGTTTATATTTTTGTATAGTTTCACTTTTCAAATGCACTATTTTCAGGCCATGTCATGACTGCCATCTTGTTGATGGTCTATATGGTTGTTGATTTATTTCTTAATAGTGTTAGAAGCTTGATACACTGGTAAAGGGACTCTGAATCACTCTTCTATTTCTCGGAGCATCAAGCAAATAGTTGTGTGTATTTGATGAACTTAAAATGCTTCGCTGAGACAATGTCAATGCTCGATCTGAAGTAGTTGCAATGGAATGGCTGGTACTAGAAGTTCTCAATTTCAAGTGCATGCTGCCCACAACGCACAATTTCTTGTGGTAAAACAATTTCCCCCTTTGTTTTATAAATCGAGGGAGCTATAAGAAAGTAGGTATTGAGATGCAACACTGTTGCAGGTTCTATCTAAAAGCAACAAATATGGATGCCGATGTGGAGGTACTTAGTTGTCCTCTCACTTCTCGACCATGAAAGATTTTGCTTCTGGCCCTCTACTGTGGTTTCCGGATTGGTTATCCTCGCTTGCCTTGCTACAAGTCGAGATTCCTCTTGCCTTAAGGTCATGAAGGTGATTAAGCTCTCAGTTATTAACTTATTCTCATTGTTCTGTATGATAAGTTATTTCAATTACACTTTGCAATCGTTAAATGGCATTGATATTATTAGATTTCTTCTCATAAAGCAAATTAACTACTAACAGTAAATACAAATTGTTTATGCAGAGGATGTTTTGAATCATTCACAACCTGAGCTATAGAGCGTACAAGTTAGATAGGACAATTCCTGGTTTCAGTAAAATGATGGAGAAAGTGAGAGCTGATACAACTGCAAAAGATGCAAGGCACAAGTAGAGGACTGCTGCACAGAAAAAGACTGAGACTGAGGATGCTCTCTTTGGCCGCAGAATGTCACCTGATCCGTAGAAAAGGTACAAATATTTAAGTGGGTAAAGAATCCTTAGACCGTGATTATTTTGATTTTAATGTTTTTATTACAGGACAAAATATGCAAATCTTATTCCAGTATCAGGTATGTAGATGGGCTATGAGACGCTAAACTTGCAAACTCCTTCATCTGGACTACCAAAAGAGGAATCGGGCCTTGCTATTCAAGTAAGACTATCCGTAATGGGATCAGGGTTTGTGATTTGAGGTATATGGATACCTTTCATGATAAACTCAAGATTCTGCTGAAAGATGGAGCTTTAAGGTTTTCAGGTTTTAAATATAGCAATAAAATGCTTAAGGAGGAGGTTGAGAAGTATTACATTGCAAACATTGTTCATGTTATGAATCAACCCATTACTCAGTAGAAGAAAATATTGGTAGAAGGTGGACATGCCACCAGATTGTTCAGAATTTCTTGTTGAATGTTCCGCGTGATTCAATTGTTCTTCGATTCCTTCATTTTGATCAGAGTGTGATATTGTCTCCTTGCTATCTTGAAGCTTTAAAGAAACAACTGCTTCGGTTGTTTTTTTAGGTGCAACTTTTTTTAGAAATTTATTACAACATTATGCCGTAAATTCTCTTGACAAGGATATTACAGGCCTCGACTATCACTCGGTGCAGTATCTGTGTTTGGACTACTCTCAGGATGATTCTATAGGGGAAGCTAAGTGCTCTTCCTATTTTCTATAAATGAAAAATTGCCATGGGATGCAACTGATGTTTGATATCCATTAGTCTCTAAATTTGTACTAACAAATGATTTAGAATATATACTTTTTTATCTTTGCAATTAACTCATCGAAAATTATATTAGTGGGTTTGAACAACTTTAACAATCCATACATCAAGCAATTGGAGCAAGATGTCTGCACTATCACTGACATGCTAGATTTTGTATTACGACATAAGAGATGAAACATAGTAGAGTTTGAAAACCATGAGAACTAGCATGTTAAGTTGAAGTTGAGACATGGTTATGGTTAATTCGTTGCTATTAGATAAATCATTATATTCCTTGATCTAAGTGAAATCAGATTGCAAAAATTATTCTCATGTGTATTTATAATTAAAATGCAAACACAAGCAAACTGATATTTTACTATAGCTTCTATAATTTGAATTCAAGAATGATGCTTCATGCTCATTTGTCACAGAATCTAAAGAATTTTCATGACAAGATGCGGCTGCATATTTGTCCATTGAACCTAGCAGAGATGTTTTTCCAAATATCCATGGTTCCAAAATATGAGCATTTGTGAGTATAAGACCATGGCTGCTGAATACTACACCAGCAGCCCAAGCACCCTCACCCACTGTAACAAGAGCAATTGAGGGAATAGTCTTTTCTAATAAGGACTCCGAGGGAGATAAATCTTCGACATGACTACCTATTTTATTTGAGGCATATACTGATACTTTCTGTACCCTATTGATGATCCAGTCGATTCTTTGAGATTGCTTCTGCAGTTTATTACTTTTGACAGTTGCTATAGCATACCATGGTATAACAAGCAGTTATACAAACTTTTATAATACACCCTGACTCAAAATAAAGGAAATTGAAAAGGCATGGAGAAATAGTTGTTGCCTGGATCTGAGCAATGCCTACTCTTTGCCTACAGTTATAGTATCATTGTTTTTAACCTGTGATAAGATTATAATAAAAAACTTTTTGGAGCGCAATCTGAGATAACTCTACATAAAATATCAATTAAAGCTGATCAATAACTGTAAAGACATATCTGATTCTTTTATGTTATAATATCATGGTTTTCCTCCTTTGGTTTTGTCTACAATTGATTTTATCAATGATAGAACTGTTGTTTTAATTTCAAACTTTTAAAGCTCAAAATATCAAATAATAAATAGAAATATTTATTATCTCTACTATTTGTTGTATGACTATTAATTCTTTTGAGGAGATAGAAATAAGTAGGACTAAAGGAAAAAAATTGATGCTACTATTTTACTAATCTTTATATTGGATGATTATGATTAAATAGGTCATCTACTGTCATCTGTATATAGTTTTGTATTGGTTGATTAAATCTCAATTGTATACCTAATAAAAATCTTTTATAAAATAATTTATTATTTTATATTGTTAAGGATGCAAACAATCTATTTATCAAACAATTGATACATAAATGTAATTTTATTAATCAATCCGTTTTAATTTTTAAATTCTATACATATAGTTGATACATGGTTTAAATTAAATAAATTTTAATGAAATGAATAAATACTAAATTAATAAATTTAAAAATTTACCACGTGCATTGCGCGTGCAATCCAACTAGTATGTTATTATATTTAGGATTAGGGTTAGGGTTTAAATGACAAGTAATTAAAATACAATAATTACGGGTACCTAAAAATTAAATTAATTACATAATAATTATCTACAAATAAAAACGTACCTGTTGTGCTAATACAACAGTTGATACGAAATAGTCGAAATATACCCATATTGTACAATTAAACAAAAATAATTAATAAATAAAATATATTTACTTATATTTAAAATCAAATAATTATGGGATAATTATCTATACAGTAAAACGTACAAGTTATACTAATACGACAGATAATATGTAACAGTAGAAATAATATAGCAAATTATACAAATAATATATAATTAATAATACAACGTATAATACGAAAATATATGTAATAATAAAAATAATACAACGTATCATTTAAAATAACATGTAACAGCATCGATAACGCAACAGATAAATTCCATAAATTTTCACCGCATAAAATTAATTTATAAATATTAATATCATTTAAATAAATATAAAACTTAGACTTTAAATCATAGAAAATTGTAGAAATTCAAGAAAAATACAAATACTCTTTTAAAAATCATAATTAAATATTTTAAAATACTAGAAAATTATTTTAACTAGTATCAAAATTTCACGGTCATTACATTAATGGCGGAAGGGGTCACATGTATAGTCAAGGGTAGTTTTGAGATTTTATATTTTTTAATGGATACGGGTTGGCATTATACTTAAGGGGATTCTACAAACAAAAATGTTGATTTTGGGGTGAAGAGATTGTGAACTAAGTCTTGGGAGATAAGTAAATAAATTATTTAATTTTGGGGGCTAGAAGCAATTTTTTCCTTTGCAAAATGACCCTTCAACTTTGACTTATTGAGCAAAATTTTCACAAAACCAACTAAATGTTAAAAGTTAGAGTTTGTCGAGAAAGAGAAAATAAGAGGAAAATGTCAAAAGTTTAGGTAGGAGTTTTGGTTCACGATCATATATAGTGCATACCCGGTTCGTTCCGATTCAGAGGATGGGTATGGGAGTATGGTACGTCACTAATTTTGAATCGGGTATGAGGGGTTAGGTTTATTCAATATGCTATAGTACATGGTTGGTTTAGGTTTGGTTCTTAAATGTAGGAATCTAAGATTTTACAAGAGTTAATTTTAAGAAATATGCTAGTTGATGATAGTAGCATTGGTAAAAGAATCTTGAGAATCATGTCGCGTTTAAAGGTATGCATATACTTTATTTACTTAATTTCTCTTTTTTCTCTATTTTTTGAAAAGTGTTATTATATTCCAAATTTTAATTATTTGGTTCGAAATTTAAATCGTGGTTCGCTAGATCTAGTGAATTGGATGTTGTTCCATGATTTTACAATTGGAGATTATTAGCTTCTAAAATTGTACTTCAATAGTGTAATTTCTTTAAGGTTAGAGGTGGTATTAAAGCTTGGTATCTCAGAGGTTAAACTTTTTGAAAGTTTAGGAAGGTTTTCGTAACTCCCTAAAATTTAGATGGTGTTTCCCTAATTTTAAATCTCATGGTAGTTTCATGCAAATCGCTCCAATCGTTAGTTATCTGGAGTTAATTTCATACTCTATGGGGTTTGAACGTAGCCCTTTTGGACTTTTTATCCTAGCTAATCACCCCGAGCTTTTGCGGTGGCCATAATACACCCCCCCCCAAAAAAAAAAAAAAGAAAAAAAAAATATCAGTTAATATTGTAAGAAAGACAACTATATCACTTTAAGATTATATATATCATTAATAATGATAAATCTCCAGCTTTTTCTGCTGTATGAAAAAGAAAACATACATGTATAATTTCTGCCTCTAACTAATAAAAGGTAGGAAAACCTTACTCTGAATTACTGAAACATAACAAAGCTACGCAACACAACAATACTTTAGACATCACGACATCACAACTATGTAATACATATATAAGCCCATATATAGATTTTTAGGGCGCTCTTTCTTCAGACATATTACAGGCAGCTAGGCGGCTGGACAAGCCCGGATGCAGTTCCGATCGCATTTTTACACGATGAGGCTGCAATCTTTCCTTCATAAGTGAGCTTGACATCCTGCAACTCGATCCCACTACAGGGATTGCTCGAGCTGCACGTGAAACTCATCGCTATTTCTGTCGCCGATGAGCCCTGTATGTCGTTGTAACTGACTTGACTTATCTTCACCCCAGAATTCTGCACCAACATAATCAAGAGATAAAAGAATTAGTTCACTACTATGCTACCTAGGGTTAGCTGCAGATAGGCACCCTGTAGTATCGCTAGTTGAGGGTGAACCCATGTAGTTCTATTGTTGCAGATAGACCCAATGAATTTTTTGTCAACATAACTGGGGGTTTATCGCCAATTAACCTTGTTACATACGAAAAAGTTTGGTGGAAATTTTTACCTGGTCAGGGCAACCTCTTTCATCTGGGCAGTAATTTTGGTCAATAATGATGGGGTGCTGGACGTTCTGCATAATTGAGTGCTCAAATGCCACTCCCTTAACAAAACTATCACTGGGCCTTCCCCATGTTTTAATCCTAAGCCCATTTTCAGTCCCTACGAACATTGTTGTTCTGACTGTCACATTCCGCACCCCCTTCTCTTGGTACTCTTTGCCCAAGCTCCCTATGCTGTGAACAAACATACTCTCACATTAGAATTTGAAAAATAAAATGCTAAACAACCACTAGTAGAAAATCCCACATTCTAGACGGAATATTCTAGATGGAAATTTTTCCGTCTAGTTTGCAAAAAAAAAAATATCATGTGGAAACTTTTACTTCCTTTTTTATGATACTTTTTCCTAATAAAAGTAGTATCTGATGATATGCAAAACATTAATAATTCATATGATATTTCTGTGAAATTTTACCCTTTAAAATAAATTGCAAATATCTCAAGCTTACATATGGGTTTCAAGTCTAGTTTTCCCATATATTTATACACACACACGTAAGTACGTATGTACCCCCAAATCTATTTTACCTGCACTTGTACCCTTGAATATGAATATTTGCTAATTTATCTATGCGTACTCTGACATTTGATAAATATATCCTTCTCATTTAACACCATCATAAATTCTGGACGAGAAAAAAAATGATAAAAATACATCCCACTTTCGATAATGGTTCTTTTTTTAACGCAAATATAGTTCATCTGCAAAATTGCCTTCAAATTAAATCTGCAGATTTACTAATTTGTCCCACAAATGTTGGGGTTGTTAAACGAGAAGGGTATAAATAAAAAACTCCCATGTGGAAGAATTAATGTAGGATAAACTAGCTAGCAAATAGAATGGATCAGGAAAGTATATATATATGAAGGCAAAGGACGTAATCAATAGTCAAGATATATTTATAGTGAGATTTAACGTTTCTACGCTATCTAACCTGATGCCGTGACCGGGACCACAACTGACTTGCTCGATCCAAAGGTTAGCCGTGCCCGGTCCAACGGAGATACAGTCATCACCCGTCTTAATGCTAGCTCCTCTGACGGTCACATCGGTCGACATCTGAACATGGATCCCGTCGGTGTTAGGGCTGTTGCCGGGGGCTGAGATCTTGACGCCTTGCAGCGTCACACCTTGGCAGCCGTCGATAACGATGTGGTACAGTTCGCTGTTGACCGATGTCAGGCCGCTGATGAGGATGTCGTTTGAGTTGCTGAATGTCAAGGACTGCATGCATGAACAGAGGGGGAAATAAAGTTAGAAGTGCATGTATTGCTACGATTGGGTTCAAAATTAGTATTTCGAATAACTTCACTTGACCATAAATTATTAGTGCATGTTGCATAATAATATCATAAACTAATTTGGAAACAAATTAATATAAACTTAATTTCAAACCAAAAAAAATAAAGCATATGCTATTAAAAAAAAACTACTTGTGATTACAAAACCACCCTCATTTTCAGATAAAATCATTCAACTACTAGAAAGTTTACATCAATATTGTCAACTCTTTTCTAGTATGGGATATCTTTCTGTTGATTAATTATTCATCTTTATGGAAGAATGATAATATGTATACGGTTCATGATAGCTTTGTGAAAATTGCCCTAATTAGAATAACATTGGAAACTCCAAAAATATATTCTCAAAAAAAAAGATATCTCATATTAGAAAATTTTAATATTTTCAAAACCTCAACAAACTTACAGTGGCGCCATCAGGACAGTTATGGCCGTTAGCTTTGCAAGCCCACAGCGAACCCCCGCTTCCATCAATACTCCCGCCATAAACTGACACTCCTTCTACGTGATCAAACACGATCCAGTCTCCTTTCCTCCCAAACTCACTGTAATCTGACCGAGAAATCAGAGTTCCATCGATCTGAACTGTGATTTTGTTACTCTTACAAGGCCCAAGGAGCCTAGCTTGGCTCACTAAAAATGTGCCTGTTGGTATGTAAATGGTTGAAGGACTTGATGAGCTACATGCAGCTTCCCATGCTTGGATTAGAGGCTGGGCCGAGTCGGATTGGCCGTTGGATTTGGCACCAAAGGATGTGATGTCAAAGGTTGCGACCGTTGGATTGAAGTGGAGGAAGAGAGGGAGGAGGAGGAGAATGAAGAGAGCCATTGAGATAGTTTAAAAGAAGGTGCAGAGGTAAGTGGTGTGCATGTTGGAGGTTTGAGGGGGTATTTATAGGAAATTTGTGGAGTTTGTTATTCGTTGGATATAGAAGAGGGAGTCGTGTAGCCGAGATTTGAGACGATGGAGGGTAGAGAAGTCATGGGTTTTTGATGTTTTTATGGGATCTTGTTTCTTGGATTGGGGCTTAGACGTTGGTGGCACATGCTTCAAACTTGTTTTAGACTATTAAAGGTCTTTTGCTTCTCAGCAAAGAAATGTTTTGAAATTAGGTGATCCGACTGCTTTTGAAGCTGTTGATGCGTGAGGTCTCAACAGCAGGGTTTAGGACTGATATTGAAGAGATTAGGGTCCCTTAATCTTTTAGTGGCTGAACCTCTAATAGGAAGAGAGTCCTACAAAACTGTAACATGTAAGAGGATTGGAGTTGGGTTCTCCGGTGATTCCTCCGACGTTCAAGTTAGTTATGCTCCGAAGGGGATTAAGGACTGAATGAGTTCTTCCTAAGTGTGCAGAAATTGCGTACCTTTGGTCAGTAGGTGGTGTGCCTATTTATACCCAGCTAGGGGGTGTTTACGTAACTTTGGTTGAGTCCAGGCAGGCAGCTGAGTCGGCAGATACTCTATAGATGTCAGCTACAGATGAGATGAGTCACCTATGAGTTTAATGTGATGGTGGCTAGGGAGGCACGGTGCTGACGGAGGGTGATGAGTCATGACGACTTCGGCGAGGAGTAATGATGACTCCGACCATGCATTCACTGTGATGGTGACTGGCTGTCGGTAGAAAGTTCGAGGAAAAACTACCTCTTGATTCAGCTATGCGAGTGTGCTGACAAAGGACGCCTTTCTACTCTCAGTCCGTGAGGTTCTCAACCCGCTCTTGCTAAATGAAGAAGCATGGCGTCGTCCTGTGCTATTGGGGCTCAAGGGAGGGCGTATTTTGACTCGGCCCTTCCTGGTAAGGGTCGAGTGATGATGTTATTAGGCTCGTCTTGCCTAGGATCGAGTCGAGATAAGGCATAATTAATTCAGGACACGCGTCGAATCTTGGGGGAGGATTAACATTTAGGTCATTATATGGCATAACACTAGCCCCTTTTACTCGAACTCGGGTGGTTGAGTCCGAGTAAAATTGAACTTTTCTTGGTCGGGTCCCGAGACACATTTATGAGGGATAACCAATGGGTCACGTCTGATGTTACATTTTAACATCAGAGAAGATCATGCGTCATTGTCTCCTAGGTTCCTAAGAGAAGATTGTGGGCCATTTAAGGCGAGTGGCATTTTGATTTTAGAGTGGTCACCTTGAATTCTGGGATTGATTCCAGCCGTTCGTCAATAATTAGGTCGGCCGTTGTGATCTTGCCACCTGGCGGCTCTCTGCGGTTGTTGCTTCAGAAAACCCTCAAATCTTCTTCTACAGTGCGCAATTTTTGGCCAATCTTCGCATTCTTCTTCGGTGATCATCAGACTAATGGCGTCTTCGTCTTCAATGGCTTAGAATAAAGGCCCGGATGAACCATCTTCGAAAGTTCCACCCTAGGTGCTGTCAATGCTGCTTAAGACTTATTATGATAAGTTTGACATCCCTAGAGCATTCACCATATCAGTGCCGGAGCGTATGTAGGCGGTGTTCGACTATGGCGACAACATAGCTTCAGTGCATCTCACATTTGGAGTATGGCATGCATCTGCTGTTGTGCCCTTTCCTCCGTTGCGTCTTGGAAGCCTTAGGAGTTTTGTCGTCACAGATGAAGCCAAACTCCATTACTACTCTAGTACGGTTTGTGGTCATGTGTAATTGGCTGGGAGTCGAGCCTACTTTGAGAATTGTCGGTCATCTCGTTTGCATGAAAGTGAATCAGCGTGAGGGCCACTACTATCTCCATATCTTAGGGGACCATAAATCCATCTCCAATGCCCCCGAGTATAACAAGGATTAGATGAAGAGGTTTGTGTGGGTCTTTGGAGGTGATGCTACCTTGGCCAACACCCATGTGGCCTGAAATCAACAAGGATGCATTGAGGCCGTGTCTATTGTTGAAAGAAGAGAAGTGTGCGTTCGACAAGATTAAGTTGTACATTAGTTCTCGTCGGAGTGAGTACCTCTTCAACCACTCGATATTATGGGTTGTCGGCATCTTTTTAGTTCCTCCAACTGAGGATGATGAAACACAATCTGCTGTGTTAGTGCTAGGCTCAGAGGAACCCGAGAAGTCGAAAACAGTCCCCTCAGCTTGACCTTGAGGAGGGTCATCAATGAGGCCAAAGAAGCATCTTCGTTCTAAATTAGCCCCTGAGGAGGTCGAGAGGGTACATGCCAATGCAATCGAGATTGCAGCTTGACTGGATAGGTGGATCTCTGCTACTGTTTAAGTCAAGAGGTTTGAAAAGAAGAAGAGGAGGCTAAGGAAGGTGGGCAACCGAGGCACCTCTAGGAGCGTTGGGGCTCCTTAAGACTAGGTTGAAGCTACAATGGAGGCGGATACACCCTTTGTTGCTCAGAGGGGTCTAGTGAGCCAGCCATTAGGTAAGACCCTGCTCCTCCAGGAATCTATATAGTGTGATGCTCCTACCATCCCTACACAAGAAGATTCTACGTCCATGCCTACGAATATCATCGTTGTCAACAATGGGCCCCATGCTGGAGAAAAGGAGATTGAGATCATCACGGTCGAGTCAGAAGTGATCGAATCCCCTAATGGAGAAGGAAGTGGCCCCTGTCAAGCCTGTTGAGTCGGCCCACCCGCATGGAAAGGAGCCAGCTGCTGAAGAGGCATCCCCTGCTCTGGGATTTGGATGGTCTTTGAGATATCCCTTTCTCTGGGATTTGGATGGTATTTCTCCCACCACATCGATGAGCTCGACGAAGATAAATAGGGTGAATAGAAGATCCTACTAATGGGGTTGACTAGAGTCAGCCTCCGCTATGATAAAGAGCAATATAAGGAATTCAGATTCAAACCTTGGCGCCATCTTGACAAGAGAAGGTCTGTTTTGGATTCCCAGCTCACTCAGACCAAGGCTTTGGAGCAATTCTTCTTACCTCAGGTGATGAGATCCTCTCGACCATGTCAGATGTCGACATTCACCAGTCCCTCAAGGGATACTTGCTTTGAGGGGCCTTGCTAGAGCTAGAACTATTTTCTTAGCTTGAGCATGCACGAAACCTCTACCTCAAGCTCTAAGAAGAATTAGAGGCTCAGAAGGCAGCTTATAAGATGATTGTCCTGAAGTTGGCTGCCAAGGAGGATGAGCTGGTGTCCTGGAGGAGGGGCAAAGGCAAATGTCGTCAGGAGCTGGAGATGCGGAACATCATGGTTAAGAGCCTATAGGCGTCCAACAACAAGAAGTCATCTAAAATTAGCAAGCTCTAAGACTTCAACCATCTCGAGCATGAGCTTTGTGAGCGAGATGAGAGGATCAGATACTTGATCTAAGAGGTCAAGGTCAAGAAGCGGGAAAGCGCTGATGCCTATGAGCTAGCTCGATTGGCTCGTTAGAATGCTGAGGCTCTGTAGGACCAACTGAAGGAGGAGCAGGTTGCTCACGAGAAGCTGAGGTAAGAGGCCACCTGAGCTACATTAGAGGTCGAGCGAAAACAGGAGGCGTCACTCATAGAAATACAGGCATTGCAAAGTCGCCTCAACCATCTGGACTCTGAGGCCTACCGGTTTGAGATCATCGAGAATTATCACAACAATACTCTTGGGAATGTGGAAGTGGCCCTCTCTTGTAAGGTTGGCTTCAACTATCTGGAGATGCAACTTCCGCCTGAGCTCAAGACCAATCTCGAGCGGTTCCACTATCCTCCTCGAGTGGATAATTACCTTGGCTGCTCTGCTAGATATAGAGGAGAATAGGGTCAGGTGGGGGGGGGCGCTTGTGCCTCATTGCTGGTAGTGATGAGAAGATGAAGATGAGTCGGCCTAGGGAACATGTGATGGGCTCGGCCCATGACAGCTGGGTGAGCCCAAACTAAGAGGGAGGGGGGGGAGAGGTCAGCTGTCTATGCTTCAGTCGACTCCTCCACCAACTTCCCCTGTTGTTGCCTCTCCATGCTCGACTTCTGATCCTAGTCCCAGCGCCACTCCTCCTAAGCATGCCCAAAGTTCCAGTGTCACTCCAACTCTAAGTCTCACGCCTTCTCCGAGATTGGCCCCTTAGCTGCTCATATGTATTTCTTCTCATTTTTTAAAGTACTATAAATATTTTGAATATATGAATGAAAAAAGATTTACTTTTGTCAATCTGAACTGTGCACGTTTGTGATTGCATTATTATATCTTGCTTTCAGACATTTCCATGGCGAGATGACATGACTTCGTGCCTTGTGCTGGGAACGACTCGACCTCATGCCTTGGGTTTACTCAAAATGACACCAAGATCTTGGGTACGGCCTTGAAAAATATTTATGAGAATGATGGCAATGTCTTTTGAACCAAAGTCGATCAAATTGATGATGTGCCATGGTTTTATCCTGAATGGGTACCAAGGTCTTATGTGCCAAATTCAGCTATGTTGGGGCTGAATAGCTCACCAAGATCTTTTCTTCCTCTCTGAAATCCATGCTCCTCACTCTTCAGTTTGATAGGGCTTCGCCGATGCTCGAGAATTTTGGATCCGTATAAATAAAGCCCCTAGGGCTGTATTTATAGGCTTCAGAAGCTCAGTTTTCAGATATGAACGGCCGACTCCCTCTTATCTTCAGTTGTAACCACTTAACCACATTCCAAGATAGCTTCAAATCAGTTGGAGATGCTTTGGATCAGAATATACTAAAATTTGGGCGGTTAACGGTGAAAAAACAGTTTTCTTAGGCACCAGACACGCTCTATGTCTCGGCCTTGGCCGAGACACATGATGTGTCTTGGTTTCAACCGAGACATCGTTTAGTGCGCATTGACTATTTTCCCTGTAATTCCCTGGTCCGATCTCAGAATGATGCGATTCAAAGTGCGACAGAAAGTCGGAGAAGAGATCTACAACCTTCCACATGTGAATTATACATGGAGTGGATGAGACAC